TTGTGTTACTGGAAATGTCTGCATCGTTTTGTGTTTAAGGAGCAGTTTTTGAGTCAAGGCCTTTGTGTATCATTGGGCTGGCAGTGATGAGAGGCAGCTTAAAGAGAAAGAAAGAAAAAAAAAAGGTGTAAACTGTTGATCATAAGAAATAATTGAGAAACTGGTTTTAGTGGAACTATTTCTAGGCCAGAGCTAAGTGATATCTGTTTTGTTGGCCAGTATAGTCAGCCGTGGTCTGATAAATATATTCCTGTAAGCCGATTTATGAATTCATCAATTTATTTGTGTATGCTGTTCTTGCTTAGCTATTTTTTACTTTTGATGGAATGAAATTTACGATGTAATGGATGTTTGTGTGAAACTGCTGCTGAGGAGATGGAAGCAAATTTGAACAGTACGTTGGCAAACTTCCTGACAGTTTAGTCTTTAAAATTGCACACTTCTGTACATGTTTAACTCAAACTGTGTTGTACTTATGCAAGAGGTTGTCCCGTGCTTCTTAGCAGTAGGGTTAAGAAAACCTGTGTTTTAAAAAAATGCAAAACTGAAACACAACAGCCCAACCCCAAAAAACCTTATTTCCTGAATGTATCTGCATAATAATCGATCGAGTTTTGCTTTGTTTCAATCAAGACATTTTCATGTCTTCACATCCTCATACCATTTTAATCGGAGAATGTTTCCAATAGAAAAGAGAGAAACTTCGTAACAAAATTTAAAAAGCTTTTTTTTTACCTGCTTTAGGGGGGAGCCATAGGGTATATGTAGCTTTTTAAACATTACAGCCAGGTTCTTTGAAATCGGTGTTAGTTGCAGTGAGTTTCTGGGAGTTGCAGGAGGGAAATTTCTTGAGTTCTTTCCAGATCCATGGACTAAGGTTTTGTTTTTTTTTTGTTTTGTTTTGTTTTGCTGGTGGGTTTTTTCTGCTTTTTTCTTGGTTAATATTGTGTATATATTCCAGTGTCTAGGCTGAGCAAGTGTGTCTCTGTTGGTGCTTTGCATTGGCTGGTGTGATGTTTCCACGTGTTTGAAATATTTGGCCCACTACGTCTTCCAGCCCTTTGTAAAGGGGACTTAGTGGACATCTTGGTCTGTGTGTTTTAGTTGCTGTATTCTTGCTAGTCTGTTTTGGGATGGTTGTAGGAAAAAACTGAAAAAAATCATCATAGGGACAACCTCGAAGAAAGTATTTTGTCCATTTTCAGTCAGGCTGTGTTTTCCTAGCACTCCAAATGCTTTTTGTGGTGTAACGGCGCGGTACCTCGGTGGTTTTCTACAAGAGCTGTGTCTGAGTTCCAAGTCCTCTTGGAGAACGCGTGTGCCCTTTTCTGCACAGCTGCTCTCTGAAGAGTGATTTGAATGTGCCAAGCAAAGCTAGTGTTTTGGATTTGTTTATTCTTAAGGACTCGTTCCTAAAGTAATGGATTTCTTTAATAACAGCTTCAAGAAAATATTTAGGTTAGATGCAAATTAGAGCGGCCTTAAACCTAATTTGCAGCGTGTTCTGCAAAGTCATCTTATTTTTCCCTTCCTCCCCCTTTTCAAAGCAAAGAAAAACTCTTAGTGATTGTCGTGCCTGAAACCACAGAGCTTTTTGCACGGAGAAATCCTCTGGTAACACCAAGCTTGGGGACATCTCTGTAATTCCAGCAGAGATCCGCCAGCAGTTGGTACAACGGATGTGACGGTTTCTGGGTTGGTAAAAGGAAAAATTATCTACTTCCAGCAGTTGCAAGACCAGTGTCTGCCTGGGTATTAAAAAGAAACTTCCACTGTGTCCTGCCAAGAGGGCTTTCTACACAGAGCGGCCAGAACGATCCACTTCTCTTAATTAGCCATGGGAATGCTTACAGTAAAGGCTTAGATGCTAATGGCTGGGAAGGAAGCTAGGTTATGAATTTAAGGCACTCGTTGCTGTTTGTGGTACAAATAAAATGGCTTATTTTTCTGAGATTTTAGCGTTGGGTAGGATTGCCCACAAAGTAGCAGAAGTTCCACTATATATATATATATTATTTTTTTTTTTTAGTAGTTACTTGCCAATAGCGGAGTGGTGTTGGCAGTTCACTTCAGTACGAACCTCTCGTCCAGATCCAGCTTCTCATCTTTTTTTACTCCCTTTTTGCTCTGGCACTAGGAATAAGCTGAATTGGAGAACTGATGAGACTCAAGAAGTTATTTATGCTAATCTTTATTATAGCTGCTGGTGTAGGGAGGGGGAGGATCAGGCACGAGTGGGTGGAATGGTCCCTCTTGGCAGTGTCGTACATTTATGCTAGACTAGATCTTGTGTCTACAGTTTATGATTATGAGTTAGCTCAAACCGCATTTAATGGGTTGCATTTTTTCACAGGAAAAGCTTGCGTAAAACTATTTAGTGCTTGCGGTAGCTCAAGGGCTTACAAATACCTTTTTATAATGCCTTGTGAAAATTGCATGGAAAGTCACCGAGTTAATGGAATTTTCACTTTTAAAGCTTCTCAGTTTTTAATCGAGGTGTCATATCTGAAAAGCCTGCCTCCAGGGACTGCGTAAGAATTTTCAGATGTCCAGAAAAAGGGCTTTACGTGGAGAAAGGCGTCTGTCCTGTCATTAGGATACGCATTTGTTTGTTTCTTACTGTCTCATGATTGCTGGAATGTTTGAATTCCTCCAAGCCCATAAATTTTCCCAAACCATTACAGTAAATTGACTTTGTGCATATGGACTTGTGTCTTCAATGTTTGTTTAATCTTAATAAACTAATAACCCATGCATTTTTGAACATATTTATAACTCCATTGACACTGCTATCTTTATCTTTTACATTTCTTTTTAGCCTTAATTTTGTGTGAGCTGCCTGTCCCTTTTCTCTGTCTCTGCAGAAGGATTTTTAACTTGTCTGACTGCACTGATTGAGGTCCTCTTTGGTTGTGGCAAACTGATCTTTGACCTGGGGAAGCAAACAAATCTCCTTCTAAAAATATGATCTTTGGGATCTGTCCCAGTTATAAAATGCCTCTTTCCAGCGGGGCATTGTCTGACCACGTAACTGTGCCAATTCCTGCAAATGTTGCTCAACGTATGAAGAGCTTATCGTCTAATGTTTAAACAAATGTAATAGCATCGTAAATAAAATTTATTCTGTAGGATAAATTGTCTTGTTCCATGCTAGGATAAAGTTCCATAAAGGAGAAAAGCCATACAGTATTATCTGGTTTTATCTGCCTCGATGTCCCTTAAATATTTAATATAAGATACATATCTTCAAGTTCAGCAGTTTTCGCTCTCTCCAGATATTAAAAGGTACTAAGAAATTCATAAATATCCTTTTGCCTTGCCTGTGGCGTGGCAGAGGGGACTGCAGGTATGATTCTTCTCCAAACAAGTCTATTTTGCTTTCTAACGGTGACTTAGCTTTGAGATTGGCAACTTTTAATAGAAATCTGTGTCTCATCAGTTTCTAAACTCTCCCCTTCGGTTTGGTTGGTTAATTTTGTCCCTCGTGTTATTAGAGACAGGGGAGTTGAGCCTGCAAACTCGACATACTCAGTTGTTTAATTATGCAGACCAATGGCTTGATGTTTCCTATTTTGATGGGGTTAGAGCAAGAGGGTAGTTCATGTCCATACACTGTTAAAATGTGGGTTTTTTCCATTGGGGTTGTGGGAATAAAACAGCTGCAGGCCTGTGTTAATAAATGCCATGCTAGGATGGAAACTAGCTTAAAGGGAGAGAGGGAACCTGAGCTTTGTTCCTGTGCCATGTAAAAATCACGACATGTCTCTTGCGAAGCCCCCAGCCAGCCAGCCACTAGACCAGCTTTCTAAAATACACGTATTTTAAGGGGCCACCCTGGTCTAGCTCCTTGCTGTCTCCCTCGTCGTGGCGCGGGGCTGCTTGGATACCGTTGCTAGTGTGGTGATTTTTGGTCTGCCCAGTGTGGAAAGAGCGAGCTAATTTCTCTGTCTGTTAATGCTCAACCTCTGACTTAACCTCTTTCCTTTCTGAGCTTTTATACGAGCGCTTTTTCCTTCAGTCCTTTGTAGTAATCCAGATGCTCGTGTTCTTTTTCCTCCTACACAGCAGATGGAGATGGCATAAGCCTTTTGATGACTGCTTTTCCTTCTTTTTACATAAGTTTTACAAGCTGGCGAGTTGGTTAGTTGGACGTGGTAGAGCTCGTAAGCCTTGTCCAGCAGGTGGTGCATCATTACCTTGCCAATATTTATATGTATTTTAGGGATATATTTATTTATTATTTTTTTAAATGTTTAGTTTAATCTGGGGAGTGAGCTTTACCACATGCTTATAGGATAGGGGAAGGCAGATCCTCCAGAAGGCTATTGTGATGAATCTGTTTCATTTTAGCCAAAAAACTATTCTGGGTATATGTTAATTACCTAAATGCTGTGCTATTCCAAACTGTAAGAAAGCAACTCGGAGGTGATTTTACCAGTCAAAGAGTTGAATTTCTGCTTTCCTGTGTGGTGTTCTAGGCTTGTGGCTCATATGAAAAATACTTGTTAAAATTTGGCATGAGTTAAATGGTCATCTTCCACCCTCCAAAAAAACTTAAGTAGGTTAGCAGCTTGCCTCCTCCGTTCCAGTATCGCCTGTCTAGTAAAGGACACTTCTTGGCTCACAAACCTTTTTACTGCTCATCATTTTAACCTTATTGAAAAGTTCTTCCCCCGTTGAGGTGAATGAGACCGTTTTTTCCACTTCATTGCGGGCTTGGGCCTACGTAAATTCATCTGTTTTACATTTATTTCACAATTTGGATTTTTTTCATTTCGCAACTTGGAGCTCCGTTTCACAACCACAAGGCTTGGAGGCATATTTTGATGGGTCCTATAAAATAGCAATGTAGAAAATTTTTAATAAAAGAGGGGAAGAACCTTAGTCTCTGCCTAGCGATTTAGGTGGTTGCATGAAAATGTTACTGCATCTGCATGTATGGTCTTAGTACAATACATCGGGGCTGTTATTTAAATTACTTCTGGCTTCTCATTTTTTAGGAATATCTTGGTGGACAAGCCCAATGATCAGTCTTCAAGATGGTCTTCAGAAAGCAATTATCCTCCCCAGGTAAGAATCTGAATCTCTGCAACTGTATAGCAGTGTCGTACAACTTAATAGAGACTGGAGTCGGTAAGAATCTGAATCTCTGCAACTGTATAGACTGGAATTTTGCTTTTAAATCTAGGCTGCTACAATTTATAATGACAACCTCTCTAGACTGCCTTCTCTCAATAAAATACATGTTGTTGGTATATTAGGTATTCACTTTTCCAGCAATTTAGTTCTGATCTTTCAAGAAATGCTTTTTTGCAGGGGGAGTTTCACGTTCCATCCGTGACGATCGCGGTCCTACTGGAAGTAATCTAACCTTATGGTTAGATTAAGCTGCTAATGAGGCGTGCGGGTCCCCCTTTGTCAGCACTACTGGAAACTGTTGTAGATTGCTGGCCTTGAATCCTAGATCTAAGGAACTTGTATTTGTTTCGCTTAATAGCACATTTAGAAACGTAGACTCTGTTTAAAGAGACATGAATGTCACCTCTTCTGCTGGTTAAGCACCTTATTAAAATAAGATTTGTATTGATTTTAGCATGTAATTTGCTTTTTCACTATTAATTAGATTGTTAGATTATCCAGAAAAAATATGCTTATCCTTTTACTTAGTATTTTTCTTCTCCAATAAATGTATTATCCTTCTCTTTATGCTGGATCCATACCTTATTACTCTGGTACTGTTTGATTGGCTTTATATCTCTTATGCTAGTTGTTTTAAATTCTTTTATTTAAAACACTGATGCACAATAGGGTGTGTTGCACAATATCTCTCTCCTGCAAAGTTCTTGTGCTTATCTACTTATTTAATCCAAGTATTCCTCCTGAGTTAAGTCTCTCAGAATGTTTGCATAGGTAAATCTTGCTACTTTGCTTTGAAGGTGTGTTAAAAAAATCTGTAGTCTAGACCAGCAGCTCCCTATATCAGTAGGTCATCTCATCCAGCTGAAAAGTTTTCATCTTGATTTTCATGATGGTGTTTTGTACTGTTGTGCCTGTAAAAGTAGTTTTGTTTTTTTTTTTTTAGGAGGGGAGGGAAGACTATCCTACTTATTCCACTAACATGTTTCATAAACCTGTTTATGAAGACAAATAATTTTGATCCTCTTGATGCCTCTGTGCATCTACTGCTCTTTTGATTTTTTTTTTTTATTTTTTTTTTACATATATATGTATTTTGATAAACAGCATCAGAATTTAATCCATAGCCTGAAGCAGTTTTAGTCTATCTAGGAACTATTGATTGCAGGGTAATGAGTGTTGTGAATGTGTTGTGTTGTCTGTGCCATCCTTTACTTTCTTTCACACAGGAAGCACATGTTTCTTTCACACAGGAAGCTGTGTCGATTTGGGCTGGGTTTTTCACCTGAGGTGCTCTCAGTTGTTGCTAAAAGTTGCTCTTTCGTTTCCTGGGGCATTCTGAGCATTTTGTGCTGGATGCCTCAGAATATTCCCAGCCTATGCTTGAAGTTGACAAGTGATACAAGCTATATTCAGGCATATATATTAAGCGGGGAATAATTAGAGTGACTTCGGTGCAAACCAGGTGAGCTTGTTAGAGATGTCTTCCAGCAGTTTTATGTCTATTGATCATGGTCTGAATGAAGATGCTGTTGCAGAACTGCTGAATACAAGCTATATTCAGGCATATATATTAAGCGGGGAATAATTAGAGTGACTTCGGTGCAAACCAGGTGAGCTTGTTAGAGATGTCTTCCAGCAGTTTTATGTCTATTGATCATGGTCTGAATGAAGATGCTGTTGCAGAACTGCTGAACCCAACCCTGGAGAACTGGGCGCTGCCCTGTGTGATAAGCAAGTCATTTAAATAAAAATTTTAGATAGGAGAGAAATGAATTAACATGATTATCTATATATTTCATATATATCAACATATACACACCTATATGTCTCATCCATCTATCTCGTATATATCTTGCACTATAGATATGAGATATCCAGATTTGAGGTCCTTTGATCTGACTTGCGAAAAGATAGTCTTTGTAGTGGCAACTGAGATTGGCAAGACAATGTTTGGAGTTTTATTCTGTGTTACTTAAAGACAAAACCAAGAGAAGACCTGGCTGCCCACGTGGAAAAGGCCCCATCCTGCTGGATTCCTCCTACTTGAATCTCCGTATCTGAAAGAGAGAATATAAAAGAGGGAATATAAATATGAGAATATAAAACACTGTGAGGTTGCTCATGTATTCAGCAAGACGAATCCTGAGCGCTGAGTGAGATAAATGGTATTTGCAGTCTCTAATACGTACTTTAGCTAATTGTTATACCTCTAACCTAAGTGTTTAATTATTCACATAAAGCATTTTTTACAGTGTAACTTCTCTGTTGAAAAATTAAGCGGAAAGAGGGAATGAGAAATTAAAATTTACAGAGGAGGCCTGTGTGCAAAGAAGGCAGGGTTTGTTATTTCTGTGTGTATAGAGAGAATCAGTTCCAAATTGTGTTGTCTCATACTTGACAAAAGAACTTCAGATTTGGTTGCATTTTGCTGAAAATGGCTAGTTCTTGCACTTTGCCCGTTGAAAGTCTGCCACGTTTTAATGAAGGTAAAACTTTTATGCAGGTTTCCTGCTTCCTCATTCTTGCAGGTGGCTGAAGTTGTTAAGGCAGGTTCTTTAGCTTGGAGAACTTAGCAGGAGAACTTTTTTTTTCTCTTAGCAGGAGAACTTTTTAGTCGAAATAGCAGTTGACTGAGTTATAAGTGTGGTGAGAAGTTGCGGGGGAGGGAATTATTTGCTTTATGTTAGAATTTGGATATTTCATATTCAAAAATGATGATATGTACACGTGACTTTTAATCCACAGAATAAACATCATGTGTCCTATGGAAAGTGAAGTTGCAGAGCACTTTATGGCTTGTGTGTTGGCATTGCTTCATTTAAAAATTAGTCCCTTTTGCGGTGACGCACTTGTTAAACTGTGTGGGCGGCCGTAATAGTCTGGGACAGGAAGCAAACTAAAACTCAGTCAAATAAAGCTTTCCTTGTTTCCGACTTTTGTTAGCCAGGGCTGACACAACACAGGGACTGGTGTCAGTCATGCTCACTGGAACGTGCCACGAGATATTTTAATAAGCTCAGCCACCCTAATCGCTGCTGTTTGTCTCATCAGAGAGTGGCTCACCTTAATGTAAGGGTGTAGTAATTCCCTGCCAGCGTGGTGGTGCTGTATTGGCTTAGAAGTAAAAATATGTGTGACTCCCTAAACATTGAATTATTCCCATCCCTTGGTGAGTAAACTAAATGTCTCCAGGCACCTTTTCTTTCTCTTGTTGGGGCAGGTAAAAATCTTGACAATTTCTACAGTAGCTCAACAAGATCCCTGCTTTGCAGTGACTGTGCTGGAGTCCATATGAAACCTTTTTGAAAAGGGAAAGAAAATGAAAGTGGAAGTCTGGAGACTTGGAATGCTGCCATGTGACTATATTTAGTAAAGGGATTTCCTAGCTTTATGGGTATGGTAGAGTTAAATAATTCTTGTGGCCGTGAGAGCCACCAGTTGGTTATGAATGAGTGCCAGTGAAAGGAAATACATATGACAGCTGTTTTTCTGTTTATTAAACTAGATATCTTTCATGAGTCTTGAAATAGAATGACCCAGAAATTATATATTCAATAACAAACCTGTTATGTAGTAACCTATTCAGGCAGAAGAAGGCTCATCATTCTATTTTTAAGCTAGTTCTAGGCTTACATAGGAAGTGGGAAGCAATGAGGCTGGTGATGCTGGAGACCATGGCCCTGTCATAAATGCTCATCCTGATGGCTCCACTGATGGTATGACTTGGAAGACTGTGTGCAGAAGAACATTTAATTCCCCTGAGTGGCGTGATTAATATGTAGAACAAGAGGATAGATTTTTTATTTAGCCACAAGCTTAATTGCAAAAGCAACGGGTAGCTGGACAAAGGCAGTCCCTTTCGAGTGTCTTGGTTATTTTGTCTTTTTATTTTCACATGCACTAGAAGTTTCACTACTCCCTGATAAAAAAATGCTTGAGCAGAAATGGTTAAAGCGAAAGAAATTAATAAAACACAATGTGACTCTAATTGCAGCTTGCGTAGTGCAGTTTGGAATCTGGTCCAGCGTATTTGATGTGGAGATGTAAATTTTGAGCAGTTGAAGAGCAGCATATGTATAAAGTTAGTGGCACTGTCCAGACAATTGGTTTCAGTTGTGCATCTGAGAAGACCAGTTTTTCTCTCTTGATTTCCATCCTGCTGTGGAGATTGTATCAGGAAGTAATTTAAAATACATTAATAAAATTTACACTCAGTTGTGTGATGCAGAAGCATGCATATGGTTGTCATCAAATGGTAGCACAGACCAGTGCTTCAAAAAAGTTTGGAATTTGCTGCGGCTCCCATTGTGACAGGTCTGGATTTGCCTTTTTTGGGGGGGATGTATCATAACAAACTGTTGAGGGGCTGAAGTGCTGTTTGCTCTGCTCTACTCTTTGTGCATCTTCACTTACAAACGTGTTGAATCGTTAACAAGAAGTTTTTATCTTCTAATGTTTTGTAGCATCGTTTCTGTAAGCGTTGTAATTTGAGGCTTAACAGTTAGGCTGAGTTTTTTGCACAGTTACTGCAATTAGTGTCTGTGTGCCATGCCTCTAATGAAGAAACACTTCAGTTTATAAACTGGATTTCTTGAATACTTCAGGAATACTTGGATTTTAAAAGTACTGATGTTGCTTATAGCAACAGGATTACAGAATCACAGAATGATATAGGGTTGGAAGGGATCCCTGGATCATCTAGTCCAACCCCCTGCCAGAGCAGGTCCACCTAGAGCAGATTGGCACAGGAACTTGTCCAGGCAGGGTTTGAACATCTCCAGAGACAGAGACTCCACCACCTCACTGGGCAGCCTGTTCTGACACCCTCACAGGAAAGAAGTTCCTCCTCATGTTTAGGTGGAACTTCTTATACTCAAGTTTGTGCCCATTTCCTCTCATCCTATCACTGGGCACCACTGAGAAAAGATTGGCCCCATCCTCTTGACTCCCACCCTTTAAGTACTTGTATGTGTTGATCAGTCTTCTCTTCTCCAGACTAAACAGACCCAAGTCCCTCAGCCTCTCCTCAACAGGGAGATGTTCCAGTCCCCCAATCATCTTTGTAGCCCTTTGCTGTACCGTCTCCAGCAGTTCCCTGTCCTTCTTGAACTGGGGAGCCCAGACTGGTCCCAGTACCTGTCCTTCTGGAACTGGGGAGCCCAGACCGGTCCCAGTGCTCCAGCTGTAGCCTCCCCAGGGCAGAGCAGAGGGGGAGGATGACCTCCCTTGACCATCTTGTTACCATCTTCTTGATGCAGCCCAGGATGCCATTGGCACATTGCTGGCTCATGCTCCTCCTGTTGTCCACCAGGACTCCCAGGTCTTCCCCAGGATGGGAACGTGTCAAATATCTTGATAAATGTATTTGTCTGAAACCTCATAGACTTAATCTCTCCAGGTTTAATAAATCACTTGACATTGTGTATGCTTTCTCTATAGCTTTGCACGATGTGATTAGTCTGTCACATCTGAAGTCCTGGTAGCAGTCCAAAAACGTCCATGCAGCCAGCTCTTTGCAGCTCTTGAAGCAGTATATTTTTTTGACATCAATGAAATTTGCAGCCTGTACCCACAGTCGAAGAACTGTGTGTGTGTGTGTCTATACATAAAACCAAAAAGTACATCTTTGTGTGTGTGTATGTATATATATGTGTATGTTTGTATTAAAAAAGTAAAAAAATGCATACATAGATACAGGTATTGAGCCACAGGCTTTAAAGAGAAGCTGTCTTTGGGTTCAGTCAGCAGATAAATTCACAAAAGGGTTGTCTTTAGCTTTTGTGCTTCTATTTTGTGTAACGTCTGCCTGACTCTGCAGGTGATGGGATGTGTGGAAGCAGGAAGGAGGGCTGCAGAGTTCCTTCCCTGTCCCTAGATTTAAGAAATCACTGCTAGCCAAGTAATTGCCGTGCCTTGCTCCCTTCTAAGGATGTTTGCCAAGATAAAAGATTTAACTGCAGTCCTGGATTTCTCTCACTTAATTTAGGTTAGGAATTGAATCATGAAGGATGAAGTTTGTGCCAAACTTTTGCAAATCTTGCGTGGTGCTTGAGAAAGCTTGTCTTTATCACCCAAGCATTAGGTTTGTGATTCCAGCAGGATTAAGAATTGCAGTTGCTGATGCTGGTAGTTGCTAGCTTCACTTTTTCAGTTTCGGGAGAAATCCGCAGGGACGAAATGATGGTGTAGGAGGAGTTCTTAGACATTGTTGTGTACTGTCTGTTCTGCATGGGAATTTTGGCAGCAGGCTGTGCCATGTATCAAGTACTGCCTTGCTCATTACAGGACCATCCTTTCGCTCGTCCCTTCCTCTTTTCTGCTTTAGAAAATCTTGTTTTCTGTTTAGAACTTCGTTTTCCTTTTTCTGAAGTTTGAGAAATACTTTGAGATGAACGCATGGCTTACTGCTAGTTAAACTAACGGTGGGTTCTGATGTTTAGGTGGATGGTGTTATTCACAAAATAGAAATTTTTCTTCCCCCAAAAAAAAAAGAATTTGGAAAAGCACCAAAGCATTCTTCTGTTGTACCCTAGCAGTGCTGATACTGGTTTGTTTGCTTCATTCTGAAAATTTCGGAGTTGCTGGAAACATCTTTGGTGGTAAATCTTCCTTGTTCTAGGAAGTACCTATCCAGTCTGCATTATCATTTGCTATATGTACGAATATTTCTTTTAATCTAAGCTTTTTGTAAATGTAGTGAGAAGCAGCCGTTGAGATCATGTGTTTATCCTGACGCTCTCTAGAACGATTGCTGCTCCTAAATCCAGAATTAATTGCTTTATAGGGCTGTGACAGAAAGATTGAGAATTAAACAAATGGGAAAACAAGTTCTGCTTCTCACCCAGAAGGTGAGCTTCTCGGACAAGATTGTCCCATAGCCAGAGCTGTGTGGGACAAGCAGGGTGATGCCCACCACACTTTCTGGGGAGATACGACGAGTCTCTACTCGGGGAACCACAGAAAGCAGCCAGATTTATGAAATATTCTATTTGATGTCGATGAAAGTTTCAAAATACTGCGTTGTGTCTGGTTTGGCAGCGCTGCTTCTTGGAGGAAAGGGCCACCAGAAGTGCCTGCAGTGGGAGGTGTCCTACAACGCCTTACTGATTCTGCTTGTACTGTAGCCTTGATCACAGGGTTTGGTAACAAAATCCAGCAGGATGAGTAATTGTGATTCTGCACTTTGTCTCGTTTCCCTGTTATGTACTGCTTATTTCTGACAAGTTAGGGAAGAGAATGAAACGCATTGTTTGCAGGTATAAAACTCGACGTATTCTGCAAAACAGGATGTCTCCAGGGCTCCCTCCAAGACCTGTTTTGTAGGGGAAGTTTAAATAAACTTGGTTCTTGATGATCCCAAATGGATGGTGCAAACGCTTCTCCGCATAATGCTTTCCAAGTGGAACAGATCTCTTCCTCCAGCAGTGCTGGTGAAGCTGGTAGCTGGGGCCTTAATATAAATAATCTGACTCATCGTGGACTGGGGTGGGGAGAGTCTGTGTAAGGGGGAGCACATGTTCAGGGAGAATATTTTCGTAGTTTTATGTGTGAAGCCCCTCTATTGTCGGTTCAGTGGCGTGGTTTTATTTGGTGTGGTTAATAAGCAGTTGGTTCCTACATTAGCCACACATCAAATTTGGTCTGTGTTCAGTGGTTAAATAGCGTCGGCCCAGAGAAGAAAAGTAATTTGATGTTCTCTTAGTATGTGGAACATACTGTATTTATCTAATTGTGTATTCAGTTTAGGTTTCATTTCGGGCTGCAGTGGGCGTTTGAATCATCGCTCTCGGTAGTTTGATCCTATTTGCCAGATTTCAGGAAGTCTTGCATCCAAGACTTGAAGGAATGTATGTAAGCCCTGAATAGAAATGCTAGGAATAGGTATTTGAACCAAATTTTTTCCTGGACAAACTGCTTTTAAAGTAATAAGTCCTAAAAACCCTTTGCTTCATTCCAGGAACAAAGGAGAAAATATAATAATGGGGAGGGATCATATTAACTTCCATTCTCTGGCTTTGTAAACTGAATTTTTGAAGGCTTTTCCCTTAGTATCTTTTACAGCCTTGGCTTTAATATTAAAATTCACTGTTCTCTCTTCTGCAGTATTTGATTCTGAAACTTGAAAGACCTGCCATAGTCCAGAGTATCACATTTGGCAAATATGAGAAAACGCATGTCTGCAATTTAAAGAAGTTTAAAGTCTTCGGTGGGATGAATGAGGAAAACATGACAGATCTCTTATCCAGGTAAGACGTGATTTCATCAGCTCTGATAATCGTAAAGGCTGGACCAAAATGCTCTTCCCCTTTGCTCCCAAGCAGACCCATGGCTGACAGTGTCAGAGGGCTGTGGTTGCGATCCTGCAATTAAGCTGCCCTTGTGTTTACGGTCAGGTCAGAGAGCAGCAATCCCAACGCTGGCTCCAGGAAGCCTTCCTTACTCTGCTCTAACCACAGAGGATTTGTGGAGAGCGAGCTCTTGGAGATTTGGAAGAGCTGAGAGCAGGGTGCAGTGTTGCTGGATGGCAATTCCTTTCTTCTGTGCGCCTGAGGCACAAGAGAAATGATTCCCCAGCTGTGGGTAACTTCAAGTACCTTTTAAAAGCCCAAGTTAACTCGCCGATGTCAATAACCTCGTTGCAGCTGTAGAGGTCTGAACTAGTCAGCTGCTCTGTCTTTCTTCAAATGGGTAAATAAATTAAATAAGCAAATGGAAATCCCATATTTTCCTTCGTTTAGTTTGATTTGGTAGTTGACAGAGACTAAAGAAAGAGCCTTTTGGCTGTTCAGACTATGCAGAGCTTCTGAGTAATTGCTAATGTAAATTTCCGAGGGCCTTTTAAGGAGTCTTCTGTTTCAGAAAGGGAAATGATATTTAAGTATCTAGGAGTACAAGAGAAATGAGTAGCAAGAAACTAGTTTATTTTTGGAGACCTACAGAAGGAAAGTCCACCTCCGGGGAACGGATGGGTGTACATCATCTGTAGTCAAGCAGAATAGCCATGGAGAAATGTGGGAGGTTCATTGATGCAGGTGTCCTTCAAGACCATATAGAAACGAGCCACAACCCTTCCCACCCTTTTGCCCTCTTTAGATAGACCAGTCCTGCAATTTGACTTTATTGCTGCTGGAACGATGGGGGAAGAGGTCTTAGTAGCCTAGTAATTATTGATGTCTAATAGAATTTCACTTGTACTGAAGTTTAATAAAAATCCTTACTTTGAGACCTGCACTTGCATCTTCAGTAAAAATGAATTTAAGATTTTTTGTTAAAAATATAAAATATTTAGTATAATTTATAAAGTTTAATGTCCATAAATGGATCAGAAAGCACTTTGGCAATGTGATAATTCTGAGAAGGGGGTCTGTCTCCCTCTTGAAAACAGGGAAGTGGTGGTGCAGGTGGATGGCTTCCTGAAGGTGCAGGGTTACGGGTGCAGAGCAGCAGCCTTGATCTGCTTTCAGGTGTCCCCCCCTCACCCCAAAACCACTGCCCCTTGAAAACAGGGAAGTGGTGGTGCAGGTGGATGGCTTCCTGAAGGTGCAGGGTTACGGGTGCAGAGCAGCAGCCTTGATCTGCTTTCAGGTGTCCCCCCTCCAACCCCAAAACCACTGCCTGTGTCCTTCAAGACCATATAGAAACGAGCCACAACCCTTCCCACCCTTTTGCCCTCTTTAGATAGACCAGTCCTGCAATTTGACTTTATTGCTGCTGGAACGATGGGGGAAGAGGTCTTAGTAGCCTAGTAATTATTGATGTCTCATAAAATTTCACTTGTACTGAAGTTTAATAAAAATCCTTACTTTGAGACCTGCACTTGCATCTTCAGTAAAAATGAATTTAAGATTTTTTGTTAAAAATATAAAATATTTAGTATAATTTATAAAGTTTAATGTCCATAAATGGATCAGAAAGCACTTTGGCAATGTGATAATTCTGAGAGGGGGTCTGTCTCCCTCTTGAAAACAGGGAAGTGGTGGTGCAGGTGGATGGCTTCCTGAAGGTGCAGGGTTACGGGTGCAGAGCAGCAGCCTTGATCTGCTTTCAGGTGTCCCCCCTCCAACCCCAAAACCACTGCCTGGTGCTGCCTCCCAGGAGGACAAGGTGGTGGATTTCAGCCCAGGCACTGGTCCAGCATGTGCACTTGTGATTCACAGTAATATGAAACAAGCTCTGCATTTCAGGCATGACCTAGATCGCGTTTATTAGCTAGTCCTAAAATACAAGGTAAGATTTAGTAACCTTATTTATTTTTTCCCACAGTGGCTTAAAGAATGATTATAACAAAGAAACATTCACCTTGAAGCATAAAATTGATGAACAGATGTTCCCCTGTCGATTCATTAAGATAGGTAAATGCATTTTTTCAGCATTCTGAGTAGAAAATAATCTCTTCTTATACTTGTGCCAGTCTTGGCACTTGTGACTACGTTGTACTCAGGCAAAGTATCCACAATAGCTGTTCCATTTCATGATCTTTTAGGCTGGTTAGATTGGAACACAAGTGAAGTCCTGTTACTAAGAAATAATAGCTTCATAATTTACATCGTGGGGAATGAAAGTGCAATGCAGTCATTTTCAGAAATACAGTTGTTGAGTCAAATAATTACTGGAGAAGCTGCTTACTGTCCTACTATAAATTGCTGTATAAAGCTTGAAAAAAATATTAAGCTAAATACCGGTAAAAGTTTCAGCATTGTCAACCCTGGGGTTTGAAAAAGGTTGAAGTTTTTGGTTCTCAAACACGCTTGCAGCACACAGAGCAACAGCAGAAGCCTTCCTTGTTCTCTTCCTGCGACTCTAATCATTTAAGTCTCATCTCTGGCTAAAGATGACATCCCAAGGGCAAAGAAAAATTATACCCTGTGATGTCCCGTCTTGTTTCTCTGGTGAAGGTTGCTAATGGGGGTGCTAACGATGGCCAGTTACTGTGGCCTTTGAAGGGAGCAGGTGAGGATCTCTCTTCCTTGCTTCACACAGGTCAGAGAGAACAAGTGTCTTACAGTGCCCATCAGCGATGCTGAATTTAGAGCCTTCCAGCTTTTCATAGCTCAGTAAATTTATCTTCCTACCTACTGAGAGAGTAAAAGAACGACTGGTTTTAACTAGCTGTTTAAGGTTAAAAATAGAGCAAGGAGGTAGCTGCTGAAAAATGAGATAAGATCCTGTTTGACTAATTTAGATGAATTTAGGAGTGTTTTGAAGTGTTGGGTAATTCCTTTCCCAAGAATTGGGTGATAGTGGCTGTGTAGGGGCTGCTTTTGAGTCCGTTGCTCTAGTATCTTCTAGTCAGCTTTCTGCATCTCCTCTCCTGTTTGCCTGAGGAATTGAAAGCTCCAGGGTGAGAATAAATAAGAAAAAAATTATGTGCCATAAACGGTGCTGTTTCCCACTCTTAGAGAAGTAGAGAAATTGATTGTTCAGTACATTGGGTTTGTTTTTTGGCTACTTCTTTTGGAAACATCTGTAACACTTGGCTTTTGGAAATCTCAAGAGGAGCAGAGGAATAGTTAAAGAGTTAAAGGCTGACTACCTCAGAAGAGTTATTTATTATTTTTTTTTTTACTTATTTTTATTTAAAATGTATTCTGACGCTTCCTGCGTTGGGTTTTTGGGAAATCTTATTTTTCAGTGGCTAAAAAACAGCAAGTAGTTACTGGAGGGCTACAGGAGTGAATGGGAAGATTACTACCCACTTACCTGGATGCATAAATTATATTCCAGCAAAACGTGTTGTGATGTTATGAAGTGTAGCAGTAAGTTGAAAGTTGTTAGGAAAATGAAATGCTGATTAGTTTTTACTACCAGGTTTTTTTTCTCTGACATGACATGAGCAGATAGTTTTTACTACCAGGTTTTTTTTCTCTGAGAGCAGTATTTATAGTTACACGGCTTGTTTTGTTGGGTTGGGTTGGGTTCCTCACGTAGCAATAAGGATTCTATGTTATATACATTAATATTAGATTTGTATTTAACTCTCACTTGCTCACTAGTTACGGTTTGAGGTGAGTTTTCCTTTTTAGCTATATCTGTAGCCTTTCGTTTCTTGAAGCTATCTTCTATGAAGAAATTCCTATGCTAGGCCAGAAATTAAAACTATCTTTTAGCCAAAACCTAATAACCTCTAGTTGATGGCTAGCGTCATTTTGTTTATGAAGTTGTGAGTGTGGTTTTTTTTTTCCTGTGAAACAACTGTAAAATAACGTTACGAAATTTTGTTATTTTTCAGATTCACAGCTTGAATATGTTTTCAGTTTGTTAAAATTTCCAAGCTGCTAGCCAAAGTAACTCAAAATTCGAAGTACCGTGCTGTGTTCCTTGTCGTGCTGCCAGTAAACACGAGGCCAAAATCTGCCCTTTTGGACTCTTAGAGAACTGACACGGCGAAAGTTGCTGTTATCAGTGAGGTTTGCGTATTTGGGGAAGGCATTAGTTAGTTGGGCAGCGATTTGCATCAGGCTTTTGCTATATAATTCTGCAGAGAAGTGTACTGACCTATACACTGCTCCTAATAGCACAGCAGGGAGGTTCATATGGGAGGAGAGGGCAGGAGGAACCATGGCATGGGTAGGTCTGTGAGAGGGAAAAATACATCCTACATTGCTCTGTGAGGAGGGAAAATACGTCCTACATTGCTCACGTATTAGAGGAAGTTTCAGACTCACAGAAAGCAGAAGAAATAACTTCTTTCTCTCTTTTTTATCAGGAGAACGCGTCCACCTCTTTCAGTTTAATTAGTTCAACTTCAGTTCCTTAGCACTGAAATGCCCAGTTGTGCAGGCTTTTGACCTACTTGACAAGTAATTTTTACATTTCGTGTAGCACCTTATGAAAGAACCTGGGAGGGGGAAGAAGATTATTTATTTGGACAAAATATTGAAGAGTCATCTTTTTTTTATGTCTGTGAGCCTTGTCTCTGGCTCTGTTTTTGTGGTTACTCCAAGCAGAGATTTTTCTTTATACTGTTTCAATGAAAGCAGAAGGTGTTGCAAAGACTGATTGCCATGAAAGAGCTTGAAGAAACGCTGGGTATAATTCTCCTACCAGAGCTCCTAACTAGGCTTCAAGATTTTTAAGCTTTGGTGTAATAGGAGTGAGCAATCCTTTCTTTATGGACATTTCCTGCATTTTTCCAAACATATGCTATTTGTGTGTGTACTGCCTGTGGATGGGGGACACGGAAATTAGCTTGAGAGAAGTATTTGAAATTATTGTGCTGTGTTTAATGCCTTTGCTGCGGTCCTCTCCAGTACACAGAGTTGCAGTCCTTTGCTAGGCATAGCTTCCAATTATTGAGAAATATCCCCTAAAATCATCCTTGTGTGGGTGAAGAACTGTTTAAGTGACCTAAATACCTTCCTCTCCTGTTGAAGGGATATTGATTTTTTTTTTTAATTATTTTTTTTTTTCTCTCTGCTGGGCACCTCTCACTGTGGAGCAACGCTTCAGCTGGTCTGAGCAGTTACATGTTTTTCTAGATGGGTTGCTGTAGTACATGCAGCAAAAAAAGGCCATGCTGAGGTGTCTTTATGGTAAAAACTGGAGGCATTCTGTAGCTTTAGGCTTTAGATTTAGCACCCTTAATCATAATGTTTTTCCACCTCAGAGATGGGGAAAAAAGCAGCAAAGCAAAGAGTGGACAGCATAAGGAGTGGCCTCTGCAACTGGGAAATACACTGATTTTTAGAGGGGGATGTCTCTAAGCTGTTGCAGAGGCTCTAGTAGGTTTGTGTCCTGCTGCTGTGTGGAGTCTGAAGTGGGTGAAGGGAAGGACAGATGAAATCCAGCCATTGGGAGACGTGAGAAAAATAAATGGAGTTGCACTCAGGATGCTCGACTGTTACCTCCAAACTTTGGGAGATTTGGGAGTCACATTGACAAGTAATGTTTATTTTTATGTGGCTGTGTGACTCGTTGCCGCACTTACTATCTCCTTCATCCAAGTCTAAGTTAAATTACAGCTGCTCAAAAAGGAGATTTAGACTGTCTAAAGAGCTGAGAACACCTGTGGAGGCCCCAGAAGGGCAGAGGAAAGGATGAGGTGTCTCCTTCGTGTAGCCTGGGAGCCAGGGAAGAGGTTCAAAAATGGGGAGGTGATCCAGCGGGACACTTGATCTTTCCTAAATGGAATAGAAATCACGTTACAGTTTCAACCCTCCTGCTCTTTCGTTTCTTTTCCTACTCCTGTGGAGTAGTTTAAAAAGATCAGATTGAGTTTTCTCTGCCTGCGCAGCGCTGGGGAAGCGTTTACTTTATATTCCCTGTACAACTTCACATCTGTGCTTTCCTTAAAGCAGATGATTGCACCATGAGAATCTTGATGCTAAAAATCACCAGTTCTGGTGTTTTTTTTCCTTTTTGTAAACAAGATTGCTGAAAGCTGAGAGTTAACTTGGGGCGGGGGGGAAGGGTTAGCAAGTTGATAGCGTTACATTTTTTTATGGTGATAACTGCACAGGATTCTTATGCACATCCTGAGATGTCTCTTGGGGTTTGGATGGCTACCAAGATTAGAGAGTTAATTGTTAAATTTTTCTGTGAAAAGCTGGTACCAGTTCTGAGAAGAACTTCTGGGGAAAAAAAAGAAAAAAAAAGAGGTGGACACCTCTGCTGTTTTTCTGGAATGAGGTGGGAAGGTGATAATACTTGGGTTTAGTTTTTCACTCAGTAAAGTCAAAATTATGAAGCTGGCCTCAAGTTGACCATCAGGAAATGTATTGTCTCGGTCCATTTGAGGTGGTCTGTGGTTTGGTTCAGTGTTTCAGTGCGAGAAGCTGATGGATAGGCTTTTGCCTTTGATTCTTTAGAGCTGAGCAAACACCAGATTTAACTTCAGTTTGGTCTTGGTCTGTGTGTTCAGTTCTCAAGACAGATCAAAGGTGTTACCCTTACATGCAGTATTTTGTCACTCTGCCGCCTTAATGGGTGGAAGACTCAGGATTAAATTTATCTGTGCACTTGGATTTAAAAGTAGTAATTTTTAATGGCATTAATGTACCATATTGGCAGCACTCATCTTGTTCAGAGGATAAAACTGAGCAAGAAGGAAGTTTCTTGAGCAGAGTATATGCAATGTGGAGAGAAGATGGGTGACTCTTGGTTTTTCTGACCAGTTCACTTCTCTTCCGTCTCCACAAACATGCACCTGCTTAGGAACAGCCCTGAAAGCATCTGCTTTGTGCGCTGAACGATGAAGTAGAAAGAAACTGTCTTGAACAGGATGATTTCAGAGCTGTAACATATGAAGTACCTACTTATGGCTATTAAAATCAGCTAAGAAACATGCATTCAGAGTCTCTTTGGATCTTTTCTAAAAACTTCTTCTCCTGGTGACAGTTCCCTGAAGTTATCATAAGCCTTTACCAATAGGTTTGTAGAAACACTCTTTAAAATTTAAAGAATCATGCATTTGAACAAACATTTTGTGCCCAAACACATTGCAGAAAAGTGTAGATCTAGTTTATTAGAAGTGTAAATACTTAAGAACCTTTAAGAGCGCGGGCACAACTTTAAGACAAATTTTGGGTTTTATTTCCGCAAGGAGTAGGTCAGAAAACCCTTAGTTCAACAAGTTAATCTCAGTGGTATTTTATAGTGGTTTTAAAGACAACAAGCAATTTCTCTGTGGCAAAAATAGTTTCTGTGGAAGGCAGGAAGGAGTAGACTTTACGCTGTTGCTGGTAACTACTCATTCATATCCCATATTGCCTTTTCCTGTTGATCAGTTACGGTCAAATAAAAAGGAAACAGAAGCATTTGTAACGAAACCACTTGATTTCACTGCAGTTTTAAGGAGTCAGGGTTTTCACACAGTTTTCTGGGGAACTGGAGTTGCTCTGAAAAGCAAACCCGAGTCTTAACCTGCAGATTTATCGATAGATCAGTGCAAGACCACAGATGTTATCACAGAGAGGTAGAGAAGCCTTAGGTGAGAGGATGCAGTGTGTTTCAAGGGTCATTTAATAGTTTGTTTGTTCCAATCCACCAATAAAACAGTATTAGCCAAAAAAGCTGCACAGATTTAAGCTTTTAAAAAAAAAAAAATTAGATAGTTTTTAAATTGGAAACTGACAGTTTTCGCTCCCTGCCTCCTCCACAACTCGCAGACGTTACTAATTTTGTAACATTTAAAATACCCAGGCTTCTTGTCTTCACCATTAGGGAAAATAATTGTTGCTGACAAATGCGGAAATAAATGTACTATGAGGAGCAAATACTGTCGCTGGTGTGCTCGTGATTCCCATCCGTGTCAAAGCTTGTTGCCTCTTTGAGCTGGTTTTAAATGATGGTATTTTTGCTCTTTTGCTTTAAATCAAGCTTCTGCTTCATAATGATGTGCTGTGTTAATGTTGCTCGGCACACGTTGCTTTAAATGACTACTTTAACGTGACGTAGCTGGTAATTTTCCTAAGCTTACTTAAAAGAACTAGAACGTATGTCAGATCAGAAATACTGAATTTTGTTTAAGGGTCAGAAGCATTCTGTTGAAATAGTATTATTCATAGCCTGATAAGATTAAAACAGTGGTTATTTGATGTTTATGCATTCTTTTTTCTCCTTTTCCTCTCTTCTCCAGTTCCACTCTTATCCTGGGGACCTAGCTTCAATTTTAGTATCTGGTATGTTGAACTTAATGGCATTGATGATCCAGATGTGGTCCAGCCGTGCCTCAACTGGTACAGCAAGGTAGGCCTGCATTTTGGGTGCCTGTCTCTCTGAAGATGTGTACTCTCAGAATCTTGTGAAACTTCTCTTACTGGAATTATGTGACCTTTTTTCATTCCTTGAATATCAGCTATTAAAACAACAAACACGCATAGTTAAAACTCAAACCACATGGCTGACTGACTCAAAGTGAATCTTTTTGAGTTGTATCTGCTTGTTCTCTGTAAAAAAACCACAACAACCCCAAAACCCAAAACACCCCAAAATAAAAAAAAAACAAAACAAGAACCAGTCAAAACAAAACCGATCAACCAAAAAAACCTCCACACAACCCAACAAAATGTACCCCCAAAGCACCACCAGCAAAAAAAAAAAAACAAACACAAAACCCAACCCCCTGGACAAACATAAATGAAAGGAATACTGAGTTAAAGGGGACAATATTAGTAAAATAGTATTTGTATTGGAAGGGAAATGGATCTTAATAAAACCAGATTCCCAGATTCCATGTCTTTTACCTCTCTAGAGCTATATGTGAACCTAGAGCCTTTTGGGTTACGTATGCAGCTTTTGTTACAGGGTGTAAAAATGAGCTTGTTTTAAAGAGAATCCACAGTGGTGTCTTTTCTGTTGCAGCTCCTTGCACTTCTGATGTTTCCCTCTTACTGTCTTTTTACTGAGTGCTCTGGAACAGAGGGGAGCTGATGCCACTGGACTATGAGATGAGATGATTTATGCCATTTGTCACTTTGACAGACAGAAAGTTCAAAGGGTTCTAAACATTATTTGTATAAACTGTATTTAATTGAGTATAACAGATGCCTCTCCTGTGGGAGAGAAGTGCACATTGACAACCAGAATTCATTTGGTGGCTGGGTTTTATGCATAGATCTTCTGGAACAATTTATGAAATTCATGTTGTGTTGCAGAGAAGACGTCTTTCCCAGCTGAATAAGACTGGGTAGTGGAGCAGCATATCTCTGCTTCCAGAAGGAAAAACTATAAAGGGGGAAAAGGTTTCTGAGTGGCAGTACCAACAGTTGGCTCTCTGAACAGTTTATGGTTCTACCAGAATGGCAAAGGAACCTCGTGACCACGCTGTCTGGCTCACCCCTGTTTATACCAACATCACAAGCTGCTTCACGGAGGATTTAAAACCAGCACCAACAGTTAGAGTGGAAGTTTTCTATAGCCACTTAATCATGAAGTGGTAATTGTGGTCATTAGTCTGCTGATTACTGATGTCCAGTCCTGAAAAGTCCAGTCAACAGAGGCTGCTGATGGTTTTCTGTGCTCCTTTCTGCTGCCTCTGCACATGGTGGTGCCTCTGGCATTTTTTTGACCAGTTGCTACGAGCAGGAAGCTGATTTTTATTATTTTTGGTCAGGAGCCATCTGATGATGATGTCAGCATCTGTTTTGTTCGGTCTTATCCCATGGAATCGACACTTTTCATGGTCAGCATGTATGTAGTGACAGCTTCTTCAAGGGGTGCCAGTATTGTTTTTCTAAAGCTTAAAACCCTAAAGCGGCAAAGCGGAGACTTAGTCACGATTGTTTGGGCTCTGCTAGGATCAGTTGCCAAGTTTTTGGTGATGAGTGCATGTCTCACTGATGTTCTCCTCTCTCACGGTCCTGAGAGGCCGTTGGTAGCTGGATCCCCGTAGGAGGATACGTGTTGACCCATATTTGGGGGAAGGCAGAAAGGTTGACCTGTTTCTTCTAGTTCTTTAAGATGGTGCGAATATTTTCCATGCGTGTTCTTGGAAGGCTTTGAAATCTAATAATGCTTCACTGCCTGAGATGTGAGATGAGAAGAAGTTAGAAGTTCTGATGAGAAGCTGCCCATCCTTTTTGATGTGCGTGCTTCAACCAACACAGCCTCCCTTCTGACTCCTGAAAGCCTTACCACTTTGATTTTACTCAAATGTGGGCATAAATTTTAGCAACTATGAAGTGGCAGGTTGTCGATGGCTATCACTTCTGGTTTTGATAACAAACACTGAAATATTTTTAATTCTACCAGTGTATTTGACAGTGTTAATATCTTGGTCTCATGCTCTTGCTACGTTTTTAACCATAGGAATTATTTACAGCTTCACAGCAAAGCTATTATTTGGGTTGTCATCTCTTTAAACCTGTATGACAGCATTTAAAAAAGAGCCTTTAATATACTTATTATACACCTTTTGCATAGGAAAGTTTTGTACATTTAACCTCTGAAGTACTACTATTGCACCGTAGGATCATAGACTGGTTTGGGTTGGAAGGGACCTCAAAGATCATCCAGTTCCAACCCCCCTGCCATGGGCAGGGACACCTCCCACCAGACCAGGTTGCTCAAAGCCCCATCCAACCTGGTCCTGAACACCTCCAGGGATGGGAAGTCACTTAAATGTCGCTTAATTCAAACTTTTATATTGCATCAAGTAGCCAACCTGCATCCAGCAGTTTATAATCCTGGTCTGTCAGACACGAGAGGCTCAATGGAAATACACCAAGTCTGAATTTTGTCTAACATCTGAACTAGAGGAGCTGGAAGTGCAGAAGCTGGTTTTTTTTACTGGTGTGCAGCTGTCCTTTTGCTTGCTGTCCCTTTGAGCAACAAAGAACCTAATGTGGGCTTGGCCTTGAGTGATGAAAGTGAACACTTGCTTAAAGACAGTATCTTAGGTATCTCTTAAAAAAAAAAAAAAAGCTTTTTTTTTTCCAGTTGTGCTGTAAAACTCTGGTTTAGCTTTAATATTCCTTTGCCACAGTCTTGCATTTTTATCGGTGCGTGTCCTTGGCCTTTTTCATGTGGGCTGGGAACTGATTTTCTAAAAATGCATAGTTCTGGCTATTTGCAGCTGTGAAATACTGATGGATTAAGAACTAAAAATATAGCACATGGCCGTATTTCTTTTTAGCTACTTCAGTTTATGAGATTCTTGCTATAGAGCCATTATTTCAAGAGCACTAATTTTTGTTGAATGTTGCTGTTAGTTCCAGGTTTTTGAGAAAGATTCCGTTCATTTAAATACCATAAACTTCACTTTTAGCAGTGGCGTCCATCTAGGAGTAAAATCTTTTTGCTGTAATTTGATCAGTCTTATAGATGCTTAAGTTACATTTGCTTTTTACCACAGTAGATATGTATTAAAGACAGAAATTGAGATTTTTATTTTTTTTTTCTTGAATGCCTTAGGATTTAGGTTTGAAGAGTCTGTTTAAAATAAGTGGTTCTGATGCTTTAAAAATCCGTGTCACTTCTGCATATTGTTAGCAGCTTTGAAAACACAGTGGGTGATTTGGTAGGTTAATAGCACAAGCTGTAGTTGTTACACACAGAGTTTAGTGTTTCCTTCCATTTCTGTGCCTGGATGTTTGTGTGTGTGTCCTCCCCACACCCTATGGCAGGGGGATTGGAACTTGATGACATTTAAGGACCTTTCCAACCCAAACCATTCTATGGTTTGACCCAGTGTAGGGGTTTTTGAGCCTTTCCTGCCCCTTCCCACACCTGAGTGGGTAATGGGCAGCTTTAGCTCATCTGCAGTGGGAAAGCAGAGGTTCTGCTTCAAGATACGTAGGAATATTTTGAAGGTAAAACTTTGGCATCTGCATAAATCCTCGCCTCCGATCCGAAACCCTCGCGAACCCACAGGATTTGGGGGTTGGTCCTTTTGCCTTCCCATTGCAGTGGTCACTGCAAGTATTCCTGTTCACATGGCTTTTTATTTTTTCTTTTTTTTCCTTCTGCTTCTAGAAAAGCTGTGACCTACTTTACTCTTCTAAATTATTTTGTTATGTAAGAGTCATACAATCAAATTACATAAGGCCGATAGCGAAGGCTTTTTCCTCCTCCGGCCTCCGTCTAGGCCTCGAGCTGCGGGGCCAGGTGGATGGAGGGGAAAGGATAGTCACTCCAGAGATCTGGGAAGCTGTATATTCTCATCTTGTATTAAATGGGATGATATCAGGTTGTGTAATTTCTATACTGTCAGAAATTAGAATAGAAAGAGAGAATTGGGGTTGTTCAGCCTGGAGAAGAGAAGGCTCCGCAGGGACCTTAGAGCCCCTTCCAGTCCCTAAAAGGGCTACAGGAGAGATGGGGAGGGACTCTTGATTAGGAGGTGGAGCAATAGGATGAGGGGTAATGGTTTTAAACTGAAAGAGGGGAGATTTAGGTTAGATATTAGGAAGAAATTCTTTCCTGTGGAGATGGTGGGACACTGGAATAGGTTGCCCAGAGAAGCTGTGGCTGCCCCATCTCTGGAGGGGTTCAAGGCCAGGCTGGATGGGGCTTTCATCAACTTGATCTTGTGGGAGGTGTCCCTGCCCATGTCAAGGGGGTTGGAACCAGGTGATCTTTAAGGTCCCTTCCAACCCAAACCATTCTGTGATTTGTATTATTCTGTGAAATAAATCCTGCACAACTTGTACTATCTTTTCCATAGCATTCCTCTGTAAGCTCTGAGGCTCGACGAGGCCCTGGGCAACCTGGTCTAGTTGGGGGTGTCCCTGCTGACTGCGGGGAGGTCGGACTAGATGACCTTTGGAGGTCCCTTCCGGCCTGGGCAATTCTATGATTCTATGATTCTAAATCCTGCACAACTTGTAATATCTTTTCCATAGCATTCCTCTGTAAGCTCTTGAGCAATTTATGTGCAGCGTGTGTAAGAGATCCTGTTTCTGGCTCCGGGCAGCTTCACAGGTAGCTCCCAGCAGTGCTGGTAAAAGAAAAAATCTACATGTCTCATAGGTTTTCTTGTGTTCCAGTAGTACCGTGAACAGGAAGCCATTCGCCTTTGCCTAAAGCATTTTCGTCAGCACAACTACACCGAAGCTTTTGAGTCGTTGCAGAAGAAAACCAAGATTGCTCTGGAGCACCCTATGTTGACAGACCTGCACGACAAACTGGTGTTGAAGGGAGACTTTGACGCTTGTGAAGAACTGATAGAAAAAGCTGTGAATGGTAAGAGAATCAGAGGGGTCTGGTATATTAAAAAAAAAAAAACAAAAAACAAAAAACCAACATTGAAATGTTACTGCTTTGAATGTTAATGTACTTAGTATTTCATATCTGCTGTGGTGTTCTGTCTGCTCTGGGACTTGTGAGTGTCTATATGGTGAAATTGAAAAATTCAGCCATGAAATGTCTTAACACTGCTACTTTTGGAGTCTCTTTCCCCCAGAGATGACAACGTGCTGTGCTTAAAAGTGGGTAAAAATAAGTTCTTCATGCAAGTGGCTGGCAAGCTCTGGTGAGACCTCACCTGGAGTATTGTGTGCAGGTCTGGAGCCCTCAATATAAGAAGGACATGGACCTGATGGAGAGGGTCCAGAGGAGGGCCACAAGGATGATCAGGGGGATGGAGCACCTCTGCTACGAGGACAGGCTGAGGGAGCTGGGGTTGTTCAGCCTGGAGAAGAGGAGGCTGCAGGGAGACCTAATAGCAGCCTTCCAGTCCCTGAAGGGAGCCTACAGGAAGGCTGGGGAGAGCCTGTTTAGAAAGGCCTGCAGTGACAGGACGAGGGGCAATGGCTTCAAGCTGGAGGGGAACAGATTTAGATTGGAGATGAGGAGAGGGTTCTTCACTGTGAGGGTGGTGGAGCACTGGAACAGGTTGTCCAGGGAGGTGGTTGAGGCCCCTTCCCTGGAGATGTTCAAGGAGAGGCTCGATGAAGCCCTGGGCAACCTGGTCTAGTTGGGGGTGTCCCTGCTGACTGCGGGGAGGTTGGACTAGATGGCCTTTGGAGGTCCCTTCCGGCCTGGGCAACTCTATGATTCTATGATAAGGTGGCCTTAACTGTCAGAAAAGTCAGTGGAGTGGTGAACAGGGAAGCACAGAACTTGAGTTCTCAGTAGTGATCTGTATCATGGTTTCTCGTTAGAGTTTACCACCTAATTGCTGTTTCAGCAGAAGTTTTCAGCTGTATTTGAAATGAGAATGCTGTTTTGCTTATGGGGAAAATAGTTCGTGGAGAACGGTGAAGAAGAAGTCACAGTGACTGGAGGCAGAGCCCATCTTCCCTTGCAGAGCAGGAAGACATTGGGAGCTGCTTTCATTGTAACTACTGGAAACTTTCAAGTTAGAAGCACTGTCTGTAAACAGCTCTCAACTGGGAAAATGGGGGAAATGCACTTTCTTTTGATAGAATGGGATCCAGAAGGAATTTGGCTATTGCACTGAAGTGTCTTTGAAGACCTGTGCGGTGGTTTCGGATCACAAACTGATAAACAGAGGGACTCTTGGCTGTGGGTGTAGTGCTTTTTTGATTACATACAGTCACTCTTCACAGGAAACTTGTACTGATATAAGAAGAGAACCTTGTGTCTGATGTGAGTAGAGTTAGGGGTTTAGTGGACCGATTTTATGGATGTCTAGCACCAGAGATGCTTTTTCTGGACCAATCAGTCATTTTGTAATACATTTCAGATAGATGCCAGTAACCTGCTTGACTCCATCACTGTGGTTTGTACCACTAAAGTTGCAAGTGGTTCTCAGGATATAGTAGAAACAATAGATATAAAATAAAGGATTGTCTTCCAGGAAAATCACCATCTCTTTGTGCGGAAGCTGTTCAACTAAGCACAGTGTTAGGGAACTTACTGCAACAGGTCGTCAAAAAACTACAGTAAATGGCTTTCTATGGGTTTTGGATCAAAGTTTCTCAATTATATAGATAGAACAGCCGAGCTCTGCCCTGGGCTGAGCTGCCTCAGCAGCTCCAAGCGTTGAGATTGCCAATTGCCAGCGTTCATCCTCACCCTCCGGAGTGTTGCCTGCCCTCCTGAGACAACGGAGTGTTTTTGGCTGGGATGGGAGTGTGAACAGCTTCCTGCAACGCAGGGGCATTTTGCAACTGGCAGCTTCTTCCTGAATTTTAAGGGCAAGTGAGGGTTGCAGGATGAGAAAGCAGCAGGGAGCTCTGCCTGGCTGTTTTGCAGCATTTCTCAAAGACTCCGGTGCCCGGAGGGGAGCTGATGAGCCCACCAATATGAAGCAGGATCTGCTGAGAGCCAGAGGGGTGCTATATGCTGATGGTGATGATTTTATCAATGCATCGGTCTGCTGCCTTGGCTGTGGCTTAATCTCCTCAGTGCCTAGAGGCTGTCATCTTTCCACTTCATTGCAGGCTGTAGTAGAAAGTGTTTCTTCAATGGAATTTCACCAGAAGTCTAGAACGTGCTGAAAAAGTTCCTTCAAAAAAAGACTTTTTTTTTTTTTATTGGGCACTAATGAAGTGAATATTTGTGGCCTCATTTTTTGAGCTGTTGCGCGTTTTTTTTTTTTTTATTGGGCACTAATGAAGGGAATATTTGTGGCCTCATTTTTTGAGCTGTTGCGCGTTTTTTTTTTTTTTATTGGGCACTAATGAAGTGAATATTTGTGGCCTCATTTTTTGAGCTGTTGCGCGTTTTTTTTTTTTTTAATCATATTTAACCTACTGCATTTATTCTATCCAGGAGTTTTCCTGTAGGACTTGAGCTGAGGTGGTATTTCTGTTGCCCCTTGTACTCTGAGAGTGGGGTTGCTGTCTGCAGTGCTCAGCTTCTCCAGGTGTTGGAAGTACTGGCAAAGGACTCCTCTGGTAGAAAACTGTAGCTCTTACACTTTCTGACTAACGGGCACTTGCTTCTTGTTAAATTTGATGTGAGTAATCCTGCTTCTTGTAATCACATCCCTTTTTGGAGGCTGAGGAACTCAGCATCACTTAAGCAAAGCAGAGGAATGCTGTAGCTTGTCTGATCAGCCCTTTTATTGTTCCAGCAAGCACAGAAGCAAGTATTTCCAGTAACAGACTGTGGATAACTTAGCAGGAGAGTCATTGAGTAGCGTGATTGTTTTGTCACCGCTTCCGAGGGACTGAAGAATATGCGTAAGGATGTTTATATTGCTTCCTCTTAATCCAGCAGCTGGCCAGCTGAAGTCGAATGTCAGTGTACACGTCTCCCATTGCTCCATTGCAATGATTTTACTTGTCTTTGAATATATTAACCTTCCTTCCCCCGTCCTGCAATTCTTTCTTCTTTCTTTTATACCCATGTAAAGCTCTGTTGCCTCCCAGCACCCTTCGGAGAGAAGTGCTCTCTGTCCCGAGACACTGAGGTTGTAGCTGGTATTTGCTTTAAGCTGACACAACTACTAGTTTTTACTAACTGGGTCAATCCTGCCCTTACTCAGGACAGTGTGTCCCCCTGGGACTCTTTAGTCTGGAGAAGAGAAGGCTTAGGGGAGACCTTATCAATGCCTACAAGTATCTCAAGGGAGGGTTGAAGGAGGAGGGAGCCAGACTCTTTTCAGTGGTTCCCAGTGAGAGGACGAGGGGCAACGGGCACAAGTTGGAACATAAGAGGTTCCACTCAAACATGAGGAGAAAATTCTTCACAGTGAGGGTGACAGAACCCTGGCACAGGCTGCCCAGGGAGGGTGTGGAGTCCCCTTCCTTGGAGATTTTCAAGACCCGCCTGGATGCTCCTGAGTAACATGCTCTAGCTCTAGGCAATCCTGCTTCAGCAGGGGAGTTGGACTAGATGATCTCTATGGTCCCTTCCAACTCTAAAATTCAGTGAAATTCAGTGAAATCTTATCTTCTTGGTAGGGTGGGAACAGATATTCTCAGCCTTCAGTGTGTTCTCCTATTGTATTGCTACCATCTGCTCCTTGTGGTCCTCCCCAGTTACCTGTTCATACTGGTTCTGCATCTGAAGCTTCTCTAGTTGGAAGAGGCTCGTTAGCATCCAGCATTTCTCCATTTACTTTCTGAGCACCTTTGCTGGGAAGTCTCCATAACTTGTTGCTTAGTCTCTAAGGTGTGGATGTTCTTAGAACTGAACTCCCTAATAGCAGCCTTCCAGTACCTGAAGGGAGCCTACAGGAAGGCTGGGGAGAACCTGTTTAGAAAGGCCTGCAGTGACAGGACGAGGGGCAATGGCTTCAAGCTGGAGGGGAACAGATTTAGATTGGAGATTAGAAGGGGGTTCTTCACTGTGAGGGTGGTGGAGCACTGGAACAGGTGGCCCAGGGAGGTGGTTGAGGCCCCTTCCCTGGAGATATTCAAGGAGAGGCTCGACGAGGCCCTGGGGAACCTGGTCTAGTTGGGGGTGTCCCTGCTGACTGCGGGGAGGTCGGACTAGATGACCCTTGGAGGTCCCTTCCAGCCTGGGAAATTCTATGATTCTATGATTCTATGATTTGTTGTTTTTTTTTTTTTCCGAGTAAAAGCAGATTAACTCTAGCCCTATGTATGGTCCCTGTTGAAGTGTAGAGTTAATTGAGACACACAGATCCTTAAATTATCCCCGAAATCATTCAAAGAGCGAACTGTTCTGCAGCAGACTGGACATGAATATGTGAACTTCTGACCCCTCGCTGATCGAGGAGTTCATTGCCTTAAAGGAGCAAACGGAAGGGCAACGGGGGTGATGGAGATACTGCACACTCCCTTCAGCCTCAAATGTCCCTGAAGAGGCTAATGTTTGCAGCGGTAGGTATTTAAAAAGTGAAACGCGCTGCATCTCTCGCGGGCTATTTCCATAGGCTTAGTCATGTAGAAAAAGAGTAGGTGGTCAAGAATTAGTGCTAGCAGAGCTAAACTCTTGTTCTTTTGCATTGCTAATGATGAACGTTGTCTTCCACCTCACATCACCAGATGATTTCTTTTGAGAGCTCGGTGGCAGGCAGCCACACTTTTCCCGCAGATTCTTTTGACTCGTGCCTTACACTTAGAAAACGGGCAAATGGAAACTCTGGCAGCTGCCTGACTTCCTCTCAAAAAGAAAAGGTTCCCTAAATCTCAGCTGGTTCACAGACTTGGTTCAAATGCTTCACATTTGGATTCATTCCTATAGCTTTCAGGCGGCCTATATTATTGAAGGCAAAAAAAAAAAAAAATAATCTGCTTAATATTCCTACAGAGAGTATGCGGAGTGCAAATTACTGAGCTGAACTGTTTGCAGCTACTGGAGAT